GAGCAGGAACAGAGCAACACCGAGAGAGAGAGAGAGAGAGAAAGAGAGAGAGAGAGAGAGAGAGAGAGAGAGCACACACACACACACAGGGAGACAGACACAAAGACAAGTACAGAGACACAACAACGCCAAAGGACAAACAGACAGACAGACAGACAGACAGACAGACAGAACACAAGGAGACACTCTCAGCCAAGGAGTCGATCGACTATTAGACAAGTTCCCCCCCGGTGACTGTAGTTTCCAGCCTATGGACGACTTCTGCCAAACTTGGGGTGGGAGAGGGGGGGGGCGCTGCCGAGTTAAGTCACATCTTGCTAACCTGACTTCCGCTTTCCTCTCCCTTTCTCCTCCTCTGTGACTCCTCTTTGACCTTGTTTGACCTGGGATCTTAGCTTGACCTTTGTGTTAATTGAGTCATGAACTACGTCTTCTTATCTCAAGGGATTAATATAATTTTAATCAAGGGGTTAAGGCATCATCCTCACTACTACTATTACTACCACTACTACTACTACTACTACTACTAATAATAATAATAATAATAATAATAATAATAATAATAATAATAATAATAATAATAATAATAATAATAATAATAATAATAATAACAATAATAATAATAATAATAATAATAATAATAATAATAATAATAATTTTTCTTTTCCAGGTGAGTGTTCTCGTGCAGGTGAGGGGGAAGGGAGAGAAAATAGGTGAGTAATTCAGCTCCCTGAAGGTTCTGGTGTAAAAAATAGGGAGGTAAATTAGTGACCAATTACCTGAGATGGACGGCAATTAGTAAAATGGGGTCCCAGGTTTAATAGTCCCAATCCTAAATTAATCTAACCACTGAGAATGGGGCCCCCCAGTCCTGACGGGCCCCAATTATAATGGGCTTCACCCTTGATAGTCCCAATTTTGATGGGGCTCAGTTCTAATGGGCCCAATCTAATATGTTTGGTTAAGTTAGATTGGGGCCTATTAGCTCTTAGGCCAATTTCACTTGTATCATAATGAATTTCTAGTTATAAGTGAAATTGAGAAATAGGCAAGACAAACCCACTTCAAAATAGGTAATTATTTATATGGAAACTAGACACAAGTAAGAAAATAGGGAACAGGTAAAATAGGTTATATTATTGGAGAAAAAATAGGAATCATAAAATAGTACTGGGCCAAAAAATATCCCGACGAAAATAGCTACCATGTTGCAGAGGATAGGAGGAGTTGTATAATGTTTATGGTGTATAAAAATAGGGATTTGAAATACAACATGGGAGAAAAAAACGGGAAAAAATATTAAACGCATCACGAAAAGGTAGAATGAAAAGTACACAACTGGTTTATAAAATTCCGACGAAAATACTTTGCAATGTTGCACAAAAAGTAGACAAAAATATAGTATATCAACAATACATTAAAAAGGTAGTATTAAAATTAGTTCTCAAAGTATCCAAAGTATTAAAAAAGGAGGAATTTTACTATATATATATATATATATATTAACTAGACACAAAATCAAACTACACAAACTATCATAATGTTGCAACACAAAAAAAGGGAAGATTGAGTTGCAACATTGAGGTGAATCAGTGTTAGTGTTTTCATTCTACGCTCTGTGGCTCTCGTCCTGAAAGCCTTGCCGCGTGTTGCACTAAATGAAATAATTATTTTTTACATTTTTTTTTGGACGGTCTAAAATATTCGGTTGGGTCAGATAGTTGTTTAAATTGGTTCACGTAGTTTGTATGGTGTATGGTTCAGTGTATGTATGGTGTACAGTAGATAATGTATTATATAATGTTGTATGGTGTAGCGTATATATGTTACTGTAGGTATGGAACAGTGTATACTTTACTCAGGCATACTTATACATTACTCATTCAAACTCATACACCTTTATCCATCTCAGAGTGTATAATACAGTCAAGTGTATATTGTTCCCTGAGTCAATATACCTTGTACTATACACCTGTGATTAATTCATTGTCATTTGACATTTTTACCGCCGGGGCCTTCGGGTGATGCAGGAATTCATGAACACATTGACTTGGTAATTCTTCAGAGAGCGGTACACGGTGGCGGTATATTCCCGTTCAGAGTGGAGGGTTTAATTGGTCTTTTTTTTTACAGGTGTGGTGGGTAGGTGGGGGGTGAGAGGTAGGTGAGGGGGAGTGGGGTGGGAGGTAGGTTAATAGGGAGGGGGTGGATGACAGGTTATAGGGAGAGGGGAGGTGCGGTATAAGCGTGTCTTACCGTGTTGTGAAGGTAGTTGTGTTGTTGGAAGTTCAGATGTGATTTTTCTTGTCGAGGGTGATAATTGCCTTATGGGAATTGTTTAGTAGTGTTGTAAGGCAGTTTGGGTGGTAGTTCGATAAACATATATACATACGTACGCCTTCCTCCTTTCCTCCTCTCCCTCCCTTCCTATTTTTCTCCTTTCCTCCCTTCCTCCTTTCCTTCCTCCTTTCCTCCCTTCCTCCTTTCCTTCCTCCTTTCCTCCCTTCCTCCTTTCCTCCTTTCCTCCCTCCTTTCCCCCTCCACCAACACTTCTCCTCTCCCTTCATCTCTCCTTCATTACTTCCCCTCCCTTCCTCCCTCCCCACAAACATCTCCTCTAACCGTCTCAACTAAAGCGACGTGAGATGTCAGGCTTTAACTAATCCCATCACCTGAAGGAGCTGCCCTGTCCAGAGAGAGAGAGAGAGAGAGGAGAGAGAGAGAGAGAGCAGAGTTCACCTTGGTAGCTACTAGTCGAACATGACCTTACCACAACTACCACTTCTTCTACCACCATTATCACTACTACCACAACTACTACCACCACTGCCTCTATTACCATCTCTACCACCACCACCACTTCCTTACTCAACCCATATCATTTAATTGAAAACTACGTCAGCAGGAAGACCCCTTCCCCCCTCCTCCCTAAAATCAATGACCTAGGGACGCTGCCCTTAAGGTCTACTAACCCTAAACATGACACCCCAGATAACTTCCATCTTGAAGGTGTTAGACGTCGCTTAACTCGTTCTTGTCCCCAGAGATTTCAATTAAACTCGCCTCTGTGTGTACTAGTATTCAAATAGTTGGACCGACGTGTGTTTTGACCGAGGACCGTCTTGACCGACGTGTGTTTTGACCGAGGACCGTCTTGACCGACGTGTGATTGTGGCCCTGAGTTGCTGCATCCCTCTGACGGTCACAGCTGGCGGTGAGCGGTGGGCGGTGGGTAACGGGCGGTGGGTGGCTGGCAGGGGGCAATTAACTTTCAAATTTAACAAGTTAGTTTTAATTTTTTTCCGTTTAAGTTAACCATTATTTTAAAAGTTAACGAGTTAAGTTAATCGTTAACCTGTAGAAGTTAAGGATTAAGTTAATTAATTGTCCCCCCATGCCTGGTGGGTGGGGGAGAGGTTACATGGGTAGGAATTAGGTTGGGGGTAGTAGTGGGGAGTAATGGTAGGGACGGAAGAGGAAGAGGAGGGGGAGGAAGGGGAGATGAGGAACAGGAAGAAGAGGTGAACGAAGAGGAGGAGGTGGTAGGGCCTCTTTAACTACTCACTTACAGGCCATCTTATGCAACAACACACCCAAGTACACACACACAAACACACAAAATTACAACACAGAAGGAAAAATTGACTCGGGTGGAAGGCAGTGCTAAGCCACGGGCGATATATATATATATATACCTTGGCCTCAATAAGTATATAAGGTCGAAACTCACGGTGTTGAAACATGGTAAAATAACCCCTAAGCGTTTTAAGAGAGGTGAAGCATTTGTCTGTATGAAGCACGACAAAGACTAGATTGTTCACAAGTGTCTTCACGTACACACTTACCCCTCCCCCCCCCCTCTCTTCCTCCCCCCCACCTCACCGCCATTCACGTACACTATCCACCCCCTCCCTCCCTCCACGTACAACAGATACAGGTCTTATTCTGGACTGCAATTACGTACGTGATGTTATGTCTTTTGAGGATAAATTTGACATATGATTTGGAGGGATGTTCTGAGGAGAGAAATTTGGACTTTGGAGGAGCATTTGGAGGAGGTATTTCCCAGGTAAAATTAGTCTCACCTGTTGTAATATATAAGTGGAATTTTTTTTTTTAAAGGTAGATTTCACCAAAGAGACAGGTAGACAGGGAGACAGGCCGAGAAACAGATAGACAGATAGACAGGTGATGGCAATATACCCCAGCTGTTGTGTGTTAGATCTGCTGTTTTCCGCAGATGAGGTGGTTGTCTTATCTGTCTCTCCGTCTATTATTGTTGTTTTGATTTGATGTACGTGTGTCTGTCTGTTCATCTGAGGCTCAAAACACCAGCTGATTGTTGGATGACACGGGAGGACATCATCCATCTTCGAATCCACGTTGAATGTTGTTGTATTTATGGATGAGATTTTTTTTTTTTTTAATAATGGAAATAATGTGTTTGTTCACAACTGTTCATAACTCTCATGGTGTGTGTTCCATTGTACCGTGTTCATCATAACTTTCATGACGTGTGTTCAGTGTTCATTCGCTTTATAACTAACTCGGGATGATTAAACTACGGATGACAGGGAAGGGGGGGAGGGAAAGGGTAGAGGGAGTTAGGGGGAGGAAGGAGTAGGGGGAGAAGAAAGAGGGAAGGGGGTGGATGGATAGGGGGGATGGGAGGGTAGAGGGAGGAAAGGGGAGGTGATGGTCGTAGTTGGGAGGATTTTGGCGTGTGTCCAGCTCGTGTCAGCGATGAAGGTCAGGTCACACAATCCAGACGGTTCGAGAAAAGGCCAAGGAGTGTAATCAGGTCAGATATTTGAGCCAGGCCGAACTAGGTCACCTTGTCTATCCAGGTCGAGAGCGCAGGTCTTACAGTTGAACCAAGTCGAGTTAGGTCATGCGGTCCAGTTAGGTCGATTTAGGTCTCACGATCCAAGCCAGGTCATGTTAGGTCACGGTCCAGCAGTTTGAACAATTGGTTTAACAGAGTCGGACCAGCTTATAAATCACTGACTCTCCCACACTCTATCACCCAGCGTCAACCCCACACACCGCCGCCTGCCACCACCATTGCCACCGTCTGCCATCATTGCCACCGTCTGCCACTGCCACCGTCTGCCACTGCCAACATCTGCCACTGCCACCGTCTGCCACTGCCACCGTCTGCCACTGCCACCATCTGCCACCGTCTGCCACTGCCACCATCTGCCACTGCCACCGTCTGCCACTGCCACCGTCTGCCACTGCCACCGTCTGCCACTGCCACCGTCTGCCACTGCTACCGTCTGCCACTGCCACCGTCTGCCATCACTGCCACCTCTGATCACTAGTGCCACTGCCATGCTTACTACCGTCTGAGCAAACATTGGTCACACACACACACACACGACCTATTTTGTAATATATTAATGCGACTTTTACTGAGAGAGAGAGAGAGAGAGAGAGAGAGAGAGAGAGAGAGAGTCTCCCCCTCCTCACCACACCAGAACAACAGCAGCAACAATTAGTGAAGCATCAATCACTCGTCATCTATTCATCAAATTCCATCTGACTTCACAGCTGATTGGATATTTTTATTTATTTAGCTCTTTTAGGGAGACAGATTGTTAGTGTTTGCGCTTATTCCTTTATTATATCCACGAGGGTAGAATATATCCTAGAATATATATCCCTTTATCCTCAGTGATGTATTCCTGTTACTCCTAACCCACCACCAGTCGTCTTACGTAGAACTGGAGGCTTCTGTGATGTATTCTTGATATTCCTAAGGGCTGACCAGTCGTCTCACATAGAATTAGATATTTTATTTTTTCAAGGGCGGTAAAAGATAGTTAATTACCTGTGTTGACCTATACTGTATAAAAAAGACATTATACAGACCTTCCTGCTTAATAACTGACTGATAAACTAACTAACTGACTGACTGACTGACTGACTGACTGACTGACTGACTGACTGAGAAGGCATTTTTTAATCACAATAGAAAAAAAAGCTATACCATTACAGTACAGACAGACACAGACAATACCCACAGACACCGTGAGAGTCGTGCCTACTGATACACCTGACAAATGTTGTAACGTCAAACATCAAACACTTGCCCCCCCCTCCCCCTTTCCCCCTTCCCCTCCCCCTTTTCTCCTCCTCTCCCTCCCTCCCCCTTGATCCCCGCCATGAATTTTACATCTGCTTTATGTTGCAATTGTTGAGAGCTGAGTGTATTGGGTCAGGTAGTACAGTGTGTTTATTAGGTCGTACGTTTGGCCTTAATAACATGACGGGTGACGAGGTGATGTGTGTTTTCGTTGTTCAGTCACCTGTTACCGGGTGTGAAGTTGATCCTGGCGTGTTTTCGTTGTTCAGTCATCTGTTACCGGGTGTGAAGTTGATCCTGGCGTGTTTTCGTTGTTCAGTCGTCTGTCAGTTGGTGGGGAATTCACCCTAGTGTGTTTTCGCTGTTCAGCCATCTGTCAGCTGGTTAAAGACTCATCCGGACGTGTTCTAGCTGGTGTCACGTCTGTCAGCTGGTATTAAAACTCATTAAGGTGTGCTGTGATTGGTCAGACACGTGTTGAAACTCACCTGATTGGTCAGATACGTGTTGAAACTCACCTGATTGGTCAGATACGTGTTGAAACTCACCTGATTGGTCAGATACGTGTTGAAACTCACCTGATTGGTCCAGTAGCTCACCGTGCTGTGCTCTGATTGGGGTAATATGTGTCAGGTTTTGTGTGTGTGTGTGTGTGTATGTGTGTGTGACTAACGCTAAATTGGGTGCCTCGCCAGGTGAAGCCACTTGAAACCAGATAGAGCCAGGTGAAGTCAGGTAAGGCAGGTGACAGTGTTCTGACCATCCTTGTGTACTCCGATAGCTAGGTGGACCTTGGCTCTACCTGTGAGCAAACAACAACACCAACAACAACAACAACAACAACACCAACAACAACACCAACAACAACAACAACAACAACGAAAATAATGATGATGATAAAAATAATAATAATAATAATAATAATAATAATAATAATAATAATAATAATAATAATAATAATAATAATAATAATAATAATAATAATAATAATAATAATAATAATAATAATAATAATAATAATAATAATAATAATAATAATTCACCCATTAAATACATTACATACTAACATCGACTCTAAGTACATCTCTTCAGTACTCAATATTTAACCTAACCTAACCTAACCTAACCTAACCTAACCTTACCTAAACCAGTCAGTTTCATATAAAGTCGTAAGCCAATAGTTACAATTTCCGAAAGAAAAGATTAATTTCCTTAATTCCCAGAAGGTCACGCGCCTTGCCACCACCTCAAGTTGTTTCCCTCAACACCAAGGGCGAGCGGCGAGCAATACCCCCCCCTCCCTCCCACCTCAAGCTTTGTGTTTTGTCTACATTCGCCAATTGGTTTGTCCAAAGAAGCCTGTTTGCTCTGCTGCCGTTGTTTACCTCGGGTAAACTCGGGTCCTCGCCTTAAAACCGGGTTAGAACGTCGGTTTTTTTTACTCTGGTTATTCGCACCCGGGTAAAAGAAAAGAGTGATTCAGGGAGTCAACACGGACCAATACACACACACACACACACACACACACACACACACACACACACACACACACGACATTTGCCCTTGACTTCATATGATCCGCACACAAACACCTGACACGGGGAGAGGGGGAGGTGTACCGCAGGAGGCAACACACACACACGGAAGAATGTGTCTAATGAACGTATCATTATCCGACACACAACTAAAATACAAGGTCTTGGTGAACGTAAAGCGGGGGATGATTGTGATGGAGGAGGAGGAGGAAGAAGAAGAAGAAGAAGAAGAAGAAGAAGAAATGGGGTAAGGAAGAAGAGGAGGGAGGGATTCAAGTCAACCACAGGAGGGAATATCAATATCTCAAATCATCTCACCTGTATCACACCTCAGAACACCCCTCCCTCCCCACCCCACCCCTCCACTACCCCTTCCTTCCCCCTCCCTTCCCCTCCCCTCTTACCTGATATATGATACCTGGTGACACCCTCTCCTGGCTGACTGGCTGCAGGTAATTAAAGGTTGAGTCGACTTACAGGTAATGCTTAGTAATTTATCATGTTGACGCGCATGAGTCTATTATGGTAATGGTGGCTGCCCTTTTGGAGTAGCTGTCTGTCTGTATAATTGTGTGTGTATGTGTGTGTTTGGAGGTGTGTATGTATGGTGTATATACTGTTGGTGTGGTCTGTATGGATGTATGTATGTATGTATGTATGTATGTATGTTACTACTACTACTACTACTACTACTACTACGTGTGTTCGTTTCAGCCAACTACTATCTTTATGTGGATAGTGTTTAGTCTTAGTACTGGTTGGGGGTGTATTCTGTCTGTCTGTCTCTCTCTTTGATTCTTTGTCTCTATCCCTGTCTAATATATGTCTTCTCTCTTCTCTCACCCATTCTTTTATCTCTCTCTCTCTCTCTCTTCCCCCCGAGTTTCTTATGTCCTGCGATGCTTTTGTCATTTCTCCTCTTGCGGTTTAATTTATAGCACAATTTGCCACGGAACTTCTAGTCTATAAATCAGTAAGGCTCATGTCCTCAGCAGACGCCAGGGGAGGAATCAACCCTTACTCCCTCCCACCAAAGATCCCATCGTGGCCCTCTCTCTCCCAGGCTCCCACGGTGCCTTTAAATTTCCCACGGTCCTTTTAAAGTTCCCACGGTCCCTTTAAAGTTCCCACGGTCCCTTTAAAGTTCCCACGGTCCCTTTAAAGTTCCCACGGTCCCTTTAAAGTTCCCACGGTCCCTTTTAAAGTTCCCACGGTGCCTTTAAAGTTCTGGTATAAATGGTGGTGTTGGTAGATTAACTTTTCTCCTATGTGTGTGTGTGAGAGTTTTATTTTGCTGTTTAGTGATGTCAGGAGGTAGTTCATAGTGATACCTAACCTAACCTAACCAAGCCAAACCTAACCTAACCTAATCTAACCTAACCACGTCTCACAGCCTTCACAAGTAGCAGTCATTAACCACGCTCAGCATTAGAAGTTGAACACAGAGTGAATGTGTCCTTCCAATGAGACCTCAACTGACTATTAATTACGCCTTACTCTCCCACTCCCCCTCCTTACCTATCCTTCCCTCTCCTTCCCTCCCCTACCCCCTTCTCCTCTTACCCCCTCCCATACCACCTCCTCCTACCCCTCCCCCTTTACCCATTACCTTCTCCGAAATTCAGTCTGACATGAAGTTAATAGACCCATTGAGGAGGACAAATACTGGTAAAGGGGTTAAGCTCCCTCACTCACCCTTAGCTTCACCATTAGTCGCTCTTAAGGTCCCGGACACTTTCTCAATCCCCTTTTCCTTCTCCTTTAACGCTCTTTTTATCCCCCCCTGAGAGCTACCCCCACCATCATCTAACCCCTCCACCCCCCTTTACTCCCTAAGGCCACCCTCCCACCCTCATCCATTCCTCCTCCCTCTCCCAGCTTCCCTTTCCCTCTCTCTCTCTCTTCCCCCGTCTCTCCCCTACCCTCCACCACCCCCACCCCCATCCCCCACCCCCCACGTCCCCTCAGACAGCAGGAAACTAATTCGCGGTAGTTAAGACGATCCAGCTCAGGGCGAATTTAATTACAGGATGAGAGACAAGAACAGTGTGTACCTTGCCTCACTGGGATCTAATCTTGCTGCCTCTCGGACCACCGCTGAGTGTAATTCATCCCGTCACTCTGAAGAAAGAGGAGGGTGGGCGTAGGTGGGGTGGGGTGGGCGTAGGTGGGGTGGGGTGGGGTGAGGTGGGGTGCAGGAGGGTAGGAGTGGAGTGGGTGTGGTAGGTGGGGAGGAGGGTGGGGTAAGATGCAGTGGGTGAGGTGAGTGGATGGGGTGCAGGAAGGTAGTAGTGGAGTGGGTGTGGTAGGTGGGGAGGAGGGTGGGTTGGGGTGGGAAGGTGAGTGGGAGGGTGTGGGTGGAGGTGGAAGAGGGTGGGGTGTTTTAGAGTGACCGAGGAGGCGTGGTAAATTAGGAGTTAGTATGGCGTAGGAGGGGGGGCGTGGCGTGGGAGGGCGTGGCGTGGTGTGGGGAGGGGGGGGGGCGTGGTAAAGGGAGGACCAAAATAATACAGCAATTGAATTCACGAAAAATACTGTGTTATTGACAAGCTATCATGAGCATGACCGTATGGATTAGGTTAAATTACCTTGAATTAGGTTAAGTTAGTTTGTCAGATTAGGTTAAAATGATTCATGTTGTTAGGTAAAGTTAGGTTAGGTTAGCTAAGTTTAAAACAGGTTAAGTTAAGTTAGGCTAAGTTAGCTTTAGTTA